TGGGCAACACCCAGAGGTAAGGCACCCTGGTTACCAACTCTAGTCATAGCTGGAAGCACCACGTCACAGATATTCGTTCCTTTGCTTCAGCCGCAACCACCTGCTGGGTTATAGCTGCATTCGGCGACTAGCTGCATCCTGTATCTGTGTTTGTCTCAACATAGGGAAACCTTGGAGGCTTGACCCTCTCTCCCACTGGCACCTGTCAGGTGGTTTCAAGAGGAAATCGACCTTCCGAATGCCCTTTCAAAGTCTTACAGGCGATTTCTTTGTGGGCGGAGGAGCATGTGCCTTTAGTCCACGTCTCGACAGGACTTACCCGCAGATGGAGCTCCTGCCAAGGCCAGAAAGATCCCACCAAAATGGGCTAGGATTGCGTCTCAAAATGGGGAACCACCCCTCGTAGCGGTATCCCGGACTTCCAAAAGAAACCACCAAATGATATTTGCTCGTGTCCAAATAGCAGATTCCACAGGCGGGTTGGCTCCAATTGGTTTAAACTACTCTTGAAAGGGGTTCCCAAAGAAAGACATACCCGTATGTCTGGGCAAATGATAGCCACCGTGCAAAGGGGGGGGAAACACTGTCGTCATGATGGAGGCTGATCTCTTGGGGCTCCCTCGTTGGTTGGTAAATTGTCATTCATGTTTGTTCGCAGAGACTGGGGGAGTGTGTGGCTAGAAAGTCGTCTAAGCTCTTTGCAGCGAGTTCAACTTGGCAAATCGAGCGAATTTGCAAGAATGTTCTGGGACCCTGAAAGTACACAGTTTCCTTTGAAATCATCGTGGAGAGATTAATTTTGAGGGTGTCATGTTTGTCGACCCAGATGTTTCGATTCGTGTTGGTGAATCAGAAGAGAAGTGGCATTGATCCCTGAAGGGAAGGATCCCTCAACGCAGGTAGGTGAATCATGGTTGAGCAAGTCATGTTCGGGTGAATTACCCATTCAGTGTCGCACAAAGCGACCTCTCAACGGTCTGAAGGACAAACAAGGATTTTTTGTGGGGGAGAAATGGCGACGGCACATGGCATGCGGGCAACTGACGAGATTACTTGGGGTCCGACTCAATTCCCCCACCAAAACCAGGGGTACCGCCCAACTTTCTCATCTTGAGGAATGAAGTCATTGTGTTTGGCTCATGTGATACTTGGAGCCAATCGCAAATACAACATCCTTTGGACTTTTTGTTTGAGGGGTGTCACAGTTTTGAGAGGATCTCTTACTTGTGAAGTCCATCCCACAAATGATTTGCTCACTCTCCGAGTTTCTGGACTGGTGGCTTAGTTTCGACCATTCCTCAGTTGGTCAGCGGCACCAATTTGTTTTTCCTTTTTTTTGGTGGCCCCACTAAAAATGGTCCAAGCCCCAAAAAGAGTTCCCTTTTTTTCCCGCTGCCCCAGGCGCGGAAGCTAAAGGCCAAAGCTCCCATCCCGGAGAACTTCCCAGGAGAGGGGGTCGGGCTTAGGTCCCTCTGCCAGGTGCCCTTTCTCACCGTTTCTTTTTTTTTAACGAAAATGGACAAAACAGAGAAAAGTTGGTACCCTTATTCTAACCTCTCAAATCTGGAGGACCTAGTTAGGGATTCCCAACATGACATGACCTTTTTTTCACCAGACCAAAGGACAAGCTGCTCCAGTCCACGGCTGGCCACGCCGTTTCTTCGCCGCTCCGAACCAACAGGATCGGGAAGCACTTCGTCTCTTTTGCACGAAGTCTTTTGCCAATCAGACTCTATCCCTGGCCCCTCATTGCGACTGGCGTGGTGGTCCGGCTCGCACTGTAGATCTTCGGAGCAGAAACCATGTCAGAGAACTCCGTGTGTTAGTCCGAAACAAGCATGACACAAAGACCACGCGGCGGGTACGGAGCTCCAAGAGACGTGTCCGAAAACACGCCGCGTTGCCTTCGTCCTAGGTCCCCCAGCGATTGGTGCCCTTTCTCTCCCCTTTTTTGAGGGGAGGGTCCCCTACTAAAATAGACTACAGAGAGAAGTTGGCACCCTTATTCTAACCTCTCTACTGGAGGACCTAAAGGAGACCTGTCTCACTGATTCTGTCCTGCCCGGCCTTGGCTGCTTTGCCATAAAGACACATGGCCGTGGCTCCAAAAAAGGTACCCAAAATGGCACCTGTGTGTTTATGGACACAGCGACTAAGACCTGCGTAACCCCAGCTGCTAACCTTTGAGCTATACCCACATTTGGCCTGCTTCCTGTAACTTGCATCTGACGGTAGGTAACTTAGCAATGTATCCTCTATTTGCTTAAGAATATATATATATATATATGTTTCCCCTTGTTGGTTTTAAAAGGAATTCATCACTACTGGAAATATGTTTAGTTTTTCCTGGGGCCTTAACCAAATGGAAGGTATTGAGCTATATGTTGGCAATTTCATGCTCATTCTTCACGTCGAGGCGAGGTCGCAACCAAAATGCAGGTCCCGCTTGCAATTTTCTAGGGGTTGATTCGCCATTATTTTCAACCATCGTTCTTTTCGAAAAAACCGGCTGTTTCCCCAGTTGTTTGTTTTTTTTTGCGAAAGAAGGATGCCTGGAAAGAATGGAAATGCAAGCTACCCTGGATGTTTTTGCAATGTTCAAAGCGACCTGTCGCATGCTTCACTTACGGCCTCTTTCAGCCCTTCTGCGGGTCGCCATGGCAGCTTCCTGCGGGGCTCTTTCCTGAATTTTCCTGGTTGCTTTGTTCTCTTTCCTCGTCTTCTTGGGTGTTCCCTGGGCGGCGGCGTTTTTGCATTGTTTCCGTTCGGCCTCTAGTTGTTCGGTTTTGGGGGGCTGGTTGTCCCTAGTCTTGCTCACTTTTCTTTTGGCGTGCCCTACGGAGTTTCTGTAGTTTCCTATGATGTTCTTCCGTGTTTGGCCGAATTCCGTTTGTTGTTCTGTTGTCATTACTGTTTTCTTCCGGCTTAATCACACGCCCATGTTTTCGTGACCCGGCGAGTTGACCTTTTTTTGCTCCGAACACGGGCGCGCGCGCCTGCGAGCGACTGATCCCCCCTACCTTGCAGGGCATAAATTGACTTCGCAGAAGCTTTCGAGCCGCTTGATTTGATGCTTGCCTTTCACCTAGGGCATCTGCCTGGTCACTGGGAAGAGGTGCAGTTTGCTGGGATGTTAGCACTTGAACGTTTTGCCAAGCAATGGATTTTCCGAATTCCACTGAAAGTTAAACTTTCAGCAGAGCAGAAAGCAACCGAGGTTTGGATTCAAAGCGTGCGAGCCCGTGTGAAGCTGCCAGGAGATGACGATGCCATTGAATTCCTGCAGGACTCCGGGGGCGTTGGCCAAATCCACACCATTTGGTTTCATTTGAGCCACGTGCTCAAAACCGATTCGGGTAGTTGACGGTTAGTAAGGGCCAATCCCAGCCATAAATAGACCCTCTTGATTTTAACAGGGTTCTGGGTTCACCATTTTAACGCCGGGTTTTGATTGTGGCTCATTTGGGTTTCTCTGATGCTTGTCCCGTAACGTGACTATGGTCGGATACACACCTTGCTGAACGCTGAACAACTCTAGGAAACACCTCCACACAGCTAGAGCAAATCACAGGATGAAAGCTGAACATGTTTCTCAGCCATTGCATTTGCCGCTTTGTGGCTTTGCGTTCAAGATTGGACTGCGCTTACGGGCTTGAGCTGCTTGTTCGACAATTCAGTTTCTGAACATGCTTGGCGCATATTAGTCATCGACTGGACAAGTAGTGGGAGTCGAGCGGGAAGTATAGTGAAAGTAATCATATTTATCACTTCAGAGCCACCGTTCTTCCAACTTTTTGAGATGACAGCTGACATAGATGTAGGTACCTTCCCTTGGCTTCCATGTTGAGGGGAGCAGGGTATTCCACAGCGCTCATGATGTGCTGCAACTTGAAAGGGTTTGCCCTAGAAATGCACTGAATATGGAACGTGCTGGACATGTGACAGGAACACGTTAAGAATCTCAGCAGCGCGCTAGACTGGCTCATGGCGTATTGCCAACGGTGTTCTACGAGGCAGCCTCCCGTACGTTGCCAAACGAATGCTCGACTGTGAAGCTCATCATACAAGTGTGAGGCCAATGCCAGACATCTTGCAGGAGATGTACCGGCAACAAGCTAAATGATGAGATGTTCAATATTGTAAGGCTATGCAGCCTGGACAAGCCTAAGTGTCCGCTGAATCGTTCTTGCAGTTTTGAGGTATGAACAGGTTACCTGGGAAAACAGGCCTGCTGAAAACAGGGCCCCTTTCTTCCCATAGATTTGTATTTTTAAGCAAGCTGCCTTCATTCTGGTGCGAAGCACATGGACACACGGCCACTTGCTCGCTTGCAAAGGCTTAGATTGCCACTGCCGGATTTGGACCAAGCAGCGCCGCCAGGAGAATCCTAACAGGCCCAAAACCAAGAAGTTTGGGCGTTACGAAAGATACAAGGCCTGGCTGCATGATGCTTGCACGTGCAGATCGATCCGATGGACGTGCGAGCTTTGGAAAGAACCAAATCGGACATGGACCAGTATGGAAGGCCTTGTTTTGCTGCCTGTGATTGGGTGTTGCCAGAATGTGGCATGGAGACCTTGGTATCCATTGTCTGGACATGGTCTTTGGGGCTTGCTTTGCAGGCCAGCCATGGGGTCTGTTCAGGACACCCTTTCAGATTGGTATGCTTCATCCATGGTTCAATGACAGCCATGGCCCTTGGCTTAAGTTCTACTTTGCAACAAGCTCGCGAGGCCACGCGAGCAACGAAGAATGGCATGCGGTTTAAAGATCTTCGGATCTGTGTAATTCCTTCAAGCTGGGAACGAAGTGACTCATGTTCATCCAATGATGATCATGATGGTATACAATCAAGTACACATACATACATATTATACATATACATACATATATACATATCTATATGGAAATGCAGACACACACATATATCCATTTGAACACTGCGCATTCTGTATCAACGCTTCAAACATCAAACATTTTCACTCCATGACATTGCAAATTTGGAGCTGCCCTTCTCGCGGAAGTCGCTGGCAATTCCTCGTTCCTCGTTCCTCGCCATGACAAAACGAGGGTTTCTGACCCTGGCGCTTGCCCTGTACGTCGCTTGGCAGAAAAGCGCCAGGGTTTCAACTGTGTCTCGAGGTGTCCCTGTCAGGTAAGAATCCTTAGTTTAAGTGTGTGTGTGTGTGTGTGTGTGTTTTAAGGGGCGCCTTTTTGCGTGGCAGCTTTGTCGTCAAATGTTTTTTTTTTTTTTTTTAACTCTTTTGTGCGGGGCGCCTTTTTGGTGGCGTTTTGTCGTCAGGACTTGGGTTGGTTTGCCGACTAATTTTCGTGTTGGGGACAATCACCACGGGTTTGGGTAGAATTGTGTAGTACTGCGCTTTTGTTGTGACCTAGATGATTCAGAGTCCAGTGACTTAGGTCCCCAGATAGGTAATTAGCCTATGGCTAACATGGAAGCTCCTACCCTTTCGGAGGACGGGGTACCAGCTGGCTTCCAGCTTTGAGCGGGCTTAGCCTGAGATGGCTAGAGGCGACCTGGCTCAAGCGAAAACAAAACATTGCCCCTGGCTTGGCATGGAACCCAAACGAGGGTGATTTTAGTAAGATCAGAGGTGAGCTGTTTTCCCGGTGTCATAGGTATTTAGGGAATTAGGGAATTGCAGTCTTGCTGCTGCCATGCGGTTGGAGAAAATATATGTATGGTTTAAGTTCAACGAGGGTACGTGTCGATATACATAATTATTCAAGTACAAGCACTTGTCTATGATATGTACCTGACCACGCTTCACTGGAGACATGTTGATTGCAAGTAGACACACACTCCCTGTTTGTTCCGACACAAATCAGGACATTGGCTAGAGGTCCAACGGCATTTCTTTTGTTGAACATGTAAGCATCAAATTATGATTAGTTTGTTCAGTTGTTTCGAGGAACAACTGTTTCCTTAAAAGTATCATGGAATCTCAAAAGTTGTTCCCAAAAGGAGAGTCCGAGCCGCTCTTCGGATACTGGAGGCAGCCAAGCCTTGGCTGCCTGCAACTCTCGTGCTTGCCGCGGTTGTGTGTCTTGCTTTTGGGGAAGCGCAGCCTGCATGACGTTGATATCTGTATTTCTGAGATGCGATTTCCCATTCTGTTCATCCTATCATGAAATGGCCGGAATCCCAGAGACTGCCGTTTTTCACAAGGCTGACTGGCGAGAGTGAGAGTTTCTGCCGATTCCAGTGGTCTCAAGAGGAAGTTCTTTGACTGTCTGCCTGCTGCATTGTTTTGATTTAGTAGCGCTTGAAGATTTTGCGGGCAGGATTCTGCCCGAGAGGTATACAATTGAACAGAGTGCTGAAACTATATATCATCAAAAAGAGCTCTAAGCTTCATAATTCACAATATAGTATTAGCTAGTATGATTCATTCAAACCAAAATAAATATATTTATCTAAACAGTATACGTTAGCCGCTAGAAAGGGGCAACGAAATGTCAAAATGCCGTGCTTGGCACTTTTGAGTGGCTCAGGCTATTGGCGCTGGCTCAATGAAGCCGAACGCGACTAAGACAGCCAAAGACTGCAGCCTTCTGCCTCTGGGCTGCGATTGGTTGCAAAGCCCTGCAGGCAGTTCCAGGCATCCAAAGGGGTGGCTTCTGCGGCCAGCTATGTTTTCATACATGTTCTTTGTTGTTCTTCGGAGATACATGGCAAGGCATTCAACCGGCCTATGGACAGCTGTTGGCTAGACAAACTTGCCTCGTGTTGTCTGTCGCAAGGCAAAGAAAGCACCAGTCGCGTGCATTGGTCCAAGACCACTTTGAGCAGGTCTGCAGTCTGGAGTACCTCGTAGATTTCAGCTGACTGTGATGTGTTTTCTTGCTGTGCTTTTTGTGATGTTCCGAGTCGGTTACTCACTACAATGGCTTCCCGGGAAGCCTTGGGCCTTATGTTGGCTGGTTGATAAATCCGGGCATGGATGTCGGAACGAATCCTATCTGAGTACGAAAGTGGGCCATCCCAGACTACTATGGAAATTCGTCCTGAAACCACGCTTTCCACAAACATGCACATGAACATTGCCCCCAAAGCTGTGGCTTCCTTTTGGTCTGGGGGAAAAACATGTGTTGGCTTGGGTTTCAACTTGTACTGGATGAGCTCCTAAGGCTTTAGTGTTTTGGCGTCCTCTGACGAGCGGAGGCTCAAAATGGCTTGGATCCACTTTCAGCCAAGCCCCTTTTTAACCCTTAGGTGTGCCTGCTTTGAGGATTGATTGTCCTTGTTCACTTCAGTTGCTTCGGCCTTGCTATTGCCCTTTCATGATCCGGACTTTGGTTTGTGAGCGAGTCGTCACCCTTGTGTGGATTAAGCTTCCCGACCTTGTTGAGAGTCTCATTGTTTGTGGGGTAAATGTCGAGAAGGATCCATTCTTCCTTAGTCCAAATCTCCATCGGTTTGTTGCTTGCCGTCCCACTCGTTGCAGTTGCTTGCGATATCAATCGAAATGACTTGAAGCTGCCCTTTGCTGGTCAAATGAGCTTTCTTGAAAACAAACAGTACAGATGGTTGACGTAGAAGCTTCGGGTGTGCGAAAGATGAGTTGCGTGTGATTGCTCCTGCGTTGTATGTTGCAGGTTGGGACGGGACGGTTTGATTCCGCACCCATGAGAATTGTTCAGTCGGGCTTGGAGCCCTTGGATGAACTGGGGTTACAATCCCCAGTTGCTTAGTGGTGCCAAGTTGTTTGTCCTTTTTTTGGGAAGGGTTCCCCTTTAAAGTCCACCAGCTAAAGCAAGGATGCCCCTTTTGTTTAGATGCCACTGGGCATCTGAAGAACTTGTTCGCTGGACAACTTGCCGAACCCACTGGGATTATGGGACATCGGATTGGCGCAGTGCACGTTCAACAGGGTTGCTCCCATTTTTAGTTTTTGACGCTGAACCCGAAAGCGAATTGTATCGTTGTATGCCTCTGTGGGGCATCTTTGCACGCCCCTGCGTAGTTGGAACCCTCACAAAAACGGAGCAAACCATCATGAATCGAGAGATTCTCAGGACTCAGCCGTCATTGTGATACCTTTGAGATCAACAAAAACGCTGAAACCTCGAATGAACAAGCCCTGAAGAATTCTATCCCCTATCTGCTCATTAGACCTCCAGTGGCGCCTTTTCGGGAGGGGAACCGGTTCCGCGTTCACATGGGCACCCTTTTCCCATGGCCTTTGGAGGGGACCAGACGCTCGTAAATGTCCGTCCGCAACAAATCCAAGAGCTTGTTGGAAGGTTGTAGGGTCCACACAGTCGCTCCCAAATGGAAACACAGGATGTTGAAACAATCGGGAACCTCAAAACTGGTCTTGTCTTTCAAGGTGGCGTTTCTTTGACACCCAAAAGCGCAGTCCCCAAGTTCGGGCCGCCAACATTTTGAATTCCTGCTTGCAGTTTGGCGCTGCGGCTGACAGGCGACTGTGACATGCTTCGCGCCGTGTGCGGTTAGCTGTTGCCCAAAATACGAGCTTTGTTGCCTTGGGTTTTTACTTTGTAAGCCATGGTGTTGCCATGGTGCAGTCCTGCACTTCTGTAGATTAACATGGGTATGGGTCAAAATTAAACCACCAGGGGACCGCAGGTTTTATGTTTCTGTCCATTTAACAGGCTTCCATTTGTGGGTTACCCTATTTTTGACAACCACAGCCACATGGAGCGGCGTAAGACAGATGTATTTGGTGTGCGTTTTTGAGGCAAGGGTTCCCTGTTGAATTGGGATCCACGCTAGTACATGCGTACTCCAAACGGACATACCCAAAAATTATCATTGGCCATAAGTGAAATACACAGCGGCCATGGTGCATACCACAAATTCCACCCTTACATATGTCGACATATATGGCTTTGAGGTGGTATGTCTTAATGGGTATGCAATTAGGGCCTTTCAGCAAACAAGTCTTGTCTCAGGCAGAAGGCGAGCGCTTTGCTGGACCACCGAGAGGCGAACACTTCCATCCCCTCCGGCATGATGAGGAGACTTAGCTACGCGGAATTGCCAGGGTAAGCATTTTACTCCTATGGTAACCATTTTGTTTTGTAGTACCCAGGACCCCACAACGCCATTCTAATGTTGTTGGCCCCTTAGGGTACGGCCTTTCTGCTTTCAAGGTAAACAACCAACCATGTAAATGGATGGATTCCGGCAGTCCATTTGCTGAGGGGTGAGAAAACACATTCGTAACTTTGGTTTCCCTTTTACCATTTAAATGCCATAGGCAGGGTTGCCACCCTCTTGTTTTGTAGCCTTCCTTCTTAAAGACGGAGTTGTGCAATGTGAGTGATCAACATCTGCCCCCCAAACCAACAACCTTCATGTAACTTGTAGCTAGTGTATACAACATGATTGTGTCCTTAGGGGCCTCAGCAGTAAGCCCTGGATACCTTTTTCCTTTTTCGGCGATGGTGGCATTTGGTGGACACCTTCTTGATTCGAACTGCTTTTTGGATGAGTCGAGGAGTTGTTAAACGGAGTGATCCCAAAATTACTCGGCTTGCCCTAAGTCTCCCTATATCTATCTCTTAAAGGAACACAGGAGCTCCGCCCGTTGGATGCCCCTCCCTTAAACGTGACAGGTGTCCTTTAGAACAAATCACTCGTTTCTGCTGGTAAGTTTGTAGAGCCACCGGTGGAAGCCATCCTTTTATGCCTCAATTGTTTCCACCCACAAAAGGCTTTTCCTTCCAAACCGGGGGCAGGCTGAGTTCAAGATTGATTCCATGACTGGATCCAGGATCCGCAAGGCGGTGGTGGAGAACCGCTGCAACCGACCGGCTTCTTGGCACAAAGAGAGTGACTGAGGTTCATGTTTTTTTTGGATCTACCCTCCCAAAAACAAAATTGAATACACGAACAAACAACCAAAACAATCAAAGAAACAAGCAAGCAAAGATGGGTGTACCTATTATGTGTCAAAATAGGGGTAATCCTCCCAACACAAGTGGTGGTTTTCGGTGGTTTTCCTTGTGGTTCCCGTTTGGCTTCGAGTTTCGTAGTTCAATTCACAGTTGCAAGGCAAGCAGCTGCAACCAACATTCTGCCTTGTCAAGATGAATATCCTCTGTTTGTTGCTACTAGTAAGTCGCCTGGTGCTATTGTTGGATACAGGTGGAACCAGTTGGAACATTGGAATGTGAAATATCCAGTGTTTGTTTCTCAACTTTGCCTTGATTTGAATGGAAAAGAATGAAGGCAGAGCTTGTTTCTCGCCCTCCCCCTTTCGGTGTAGTCAATACGCTGCTTTGGTGAGCAACACACCCACCTGTTTTTCTTGGGGGACGAGTGCAAATCGAAACTGGCACTTCCTGTTTTTTTCCAGAACTCATTCACAAGCTTCGGGCAAACTAGCCTTGCAATACCTTGGTCCATGCGCAATTCGAACATGCGTGGACCAGGGTGTCATATATACTACTTGCGCTGCGCCTGTGGTTGCCTATGTGCGTGCAAACCATCATCTGAGGTTTGGCTGTATGGCTACCAGGATGGCGTTCCTACTCATTTGAAGATCCCAGCCAAGGTGACAGAGGATCGCATCCGGTAGTGACAGAACGGGCGCTCAAGTACTGCGACTTTTCTTCACTCCAGAGTCCATGGTTTTGTTCTGTCCAGTAGATTTTCTACTACAAAAGACCGATCCGAAGCGGCTAGGGGTGTGTTTTTGTTGGGGGGTGTCCCTTTTTTGGCGGGAAACCTAAAGGTTTCTGGGTGCCCCTTTGAGAGAAGCTCGGCTTTCCTACTAGGATTCGCCGTCACCTCGATGTGTCCGTTCGCCCGTTGCCGGGGGGCCACCGTTGTGCCCCGCTGAGGCGGAATTGCGCTCGTTCTGCGACCCTGGGAGCTCACACCCACAATGTTTGCTGCAAGCAAAGGAAATTAAGCAGCTTGTAGAGGCTGGTAGATATGCCATGCCTCTAGGTTTGCCCGAAGGGTGTCCCAGTTTTTCCTTGCCTCTAAAAGGACAGCAATATTTTTTCCTTTTGGTGGTGATGCTGTTACTCTGCGGTTTTTCGGGCACCCCAAAACCATCAGAGCAATCTCCGTTTCGGCGGGGCCCTTCAGAAAAGGCCAACTGTTTAGTGAGGTGGGTGCTCAAACAACCGGAATTCCAAAATGGGTTGCCCTGGTAAGTGGAAACATGGACCAAAACCTGCGTAGCCCTAGCTGTTTAATTTTGAGCCACTGCCAGGTGACCTTCAAACGCGCAATTTGGTACCCTGGAGTCTGGCACTGTGAGTTTGGTTCTAAACTATTTTTCTTTCTGCGGGGGATGGGACTAGGTCCAAAAGGATACGGGCCAATATACTTGTGCGTATTCTTGTATTGTTGTCTATGTCTGTTCATCAATCGGACACTATTGACTAATTTCTTGAAGTAGCCTTAGGCCTTACCGTATGGCATGATTGTCCCTTCGCGGCAAATGATGTTCCAGGAGTTCACGGAGGAGCGGGGCTTCCTGATTTGGCGGGAGCAGCGGATTACTGTGTCCTACGGGAGCTTCTTTGACGGTGAGCTGAGGTTTCTTGGCCGAGAGACAGCTTTGGACAAGCGCGTCTCGCGAGCGCTTGCGTTGGCTTGGGCTCCCAGCCGCACTTGTGAGGGCCCCACCTCTGCCGACCCCTTGGCATGTTGCTCCAAACAAAAACGAATGAATGACCAGAAGCGAACGATTCTCTCACCGAATTTGAGCCAGAGCTCGGGCAGACACGTTCAAGTCTTGCGAGCCCGTCTTGAGACGATTAAATTTTCAGCATCCTCTTGGCACCTTTCATGACTGAAGAATGGCTGCGCACCTTGTGCCCCAGAGTCAGGAGTCAGCGAAGGGGCAACTCGTGTGCGCTGTTTGCATCGTCCATCCCACCATCCATTTGAGCCCCGCAAGCCCGAGCATGCCCGATTGAGCTGAAAGAAGTTTGCTGCTTGCTTAGATCAGAGAGCGATGATGCACACACTCCCTCTTCCATGGGTAGTAAGCGCTGCTTATTTATTTGAGATGATGGGATTCTTGTTCGTTACATGGTCCAGCTCAGTCCAGCTCCAAACCATGAATAATGGGCAAGCTGACCTGAAAGAAGGCTTGATCCTTTTAGCCTCAGGCAGTATCTCAGACCTATGCCCGGCAGGCGCCGGTTATTTTTTGACACAGGTTCCCTAGATCAACTAGCTATGCTGATTCCCCCCCAAGAAAAAGGGTGCCGTTGGTTTTCTCAGGTGGCCCAGTTGGGGCCATTTGAATCTGGGTGTTGGACCTCCGGAGGTCCGCTGCCCGTGCCATTGAGGCCGACAAACCTTGATGCCGCCGTCATCGAGCTGAATGCAGACTACGAGGGCTGGGTGGTGCCGAAGAGCCACGTGAGTTTTTTGGGTCAGCTCGGGTACAGCGGCTCGCTGGGTCAAAGAGAGGAGGCGGTTGTTTTTTGCTTGCTCTTCTTTGGTTGAGCCGATGTTGCTGCTTCATGGAGCTTTTGCGAACCTTCACCCAAAGTTGACCCCACAACAAAACGGTATGCGAAAGGATATTTGGGCCTTTTTGGAGGTTGATGCATTGATGCATTCTTTGCTTTGCGCTCGTTTGGTTTCTTGTTTGGCAGGCATCACGACTTGAGATCAAGCTCTTGGGAAGTAATGAGTGCTTTCGGGGCGTTGCATCGGATTTGGGGCATGGATCGATGGCGTTTGCTCCTTTCGGTGCAGCTCCTGAGGTGGCCGCAGACATGGGCCCTTCCACTAGCCTTTGGCGCATTTTGCCAGGGGATGTTGCTTTAACTTTTTGCCAACTAATGGGTTTTCCGCATTAAACCACTAAAAGTTGAACTTTGAGTAGGGGAGCAGAAAGCAACCGAGTAGACATTATCCTTGCGATTGATAGAGAAATACTCCATGATTCACGGGGTTTTGTGGTTGGACGTGATCCGCTCGCGACTGCTTTCTTTTCAGCCGTTGGGTCTTCCGCTCGTGGGCACAGCCGCTGTTCGCCCACGGTTGGATGAGTTTCCTCGTGATGTTCAAGCGGGAAATCTAGGGAGCCCTGTAAACCAGCAAGTGAGAAGGCCTCCTCGCGCCGACCGCACGAGGTAATTTGAACCTTGAGCTGGCCTTCTGGCTGGACAGACGCTTGGACGGATTACCAATCAGCGGCAAAGTGACTTTCCAGCTGCAAAAGTCTGCCTGCTTTAGTAACCTTACCGATGCGGAGTAAAACGGGCCCAATCTATGATGAACGTCCTTTACAAACATATATCTAATTTATGTCTAGTTTTGAAGCTAATTTCTTCAAAACAGGTAGTAGACAGCACTTTCGTGTTTGTTCGTCGGCCTGAGCTTGTTGGTTGTTCCAATGTATATGAAGCTGTCATTAGCCTAGCACCTACAAACCATTCATGTTTCGACCGTGGAGCGATGCTATGGACACCAAACCATCAGCGGGAAGACATGTATTTGTGGCTACACATGTTTCTTCCGCTGAGCATGCGCCGCCCAGAATTATGGAGTTAGGCATTGCGTGCCCCAAAGATCCACTTCGCACGTCTTGCACGTGAGAAGAACCCCGCTGTTGTTCATACCTCTCCCCAAAACGGGTAATGACCCAACAACGAGGTTTGGACCCGATATGAACGGAGGTATGTATTACGACATGTGGACCGAGGCTCACAAGGATGTTTGCCAAAGATTGCGAAGCCGTGACACCCATGAACCCCATGGGTTCAAAAGTGGACTCTTTAACGTCAAAGGTTTAATGGCTATGTTCCACTGATCTTTGTCTACTTCAGTATGCGTGCATCTGTTTTGAGGAGTCCGGTCTGATAGGGAAGGAACTCAACCGTTTCGGCTTGTCGGAACGGTCCCCTAGTTTTGAGACAAACACGTACCCTCTTCCCCAAAGGGGTACGGTTGATTTCCTCAAAGCTTTCATGTCGGCCATGCAAAAACCCGTTGACTATGGCGGTAAATTCAGTTCTTTTTTGAAATTCAGGAATCACATCCCTTGACTTGGGGTCTCCCTTTCTGCAAGTCATGTTGCCCTGAACATGCGGACGCTAACCAAGAACCAGGTGGTGGACAGGAATCTCAACTCAAATTTGTGCCATGGCCAGAAGACCCTTTGCCTGGAGTTTACAGGGATGATCATCCACATGCTAGTAACTCACTTCCTGAGTTCATGAACTTGAACAACTTGTTGGGTTTGGACCAGTTTAGTGGTAAATACTAAGTTTGGACTTTTTTTGGGCCAGTGAGGTAAGGATCCTTAATCATTATCGTGATTTCTATGAATGGCACCGTGACCGCAGGCCATAGGAGTTGGACCCTTCAAGCCTTGGCTCGCCAGAAATCAACGGCACCTTGGCGGTGGAGACGCCGGCGAACCCCGCCTGCTTCTCCCGAGCGCTCCTCGGCTTGTCCCATCGGTCCTGAAGAAGAATTCTGGCGGGTTCCAGCTGGTTGAAAGCTTTGCATTGGGGGCCTGCTTCAATCCCATGATGAGGGTTCTTTGCTTGGGGTCCCTGATTTCCGTTTTCTGGAATTATTGCAAACACAGTGCTGGACGTTGGATAAGGACCTCTCTTGCTTGAGGGAACGATGGGGCAGTTGCTGAACAAAGCCCTGGTTGCTTCATTGGGGGCTGCACAGCAGGTTTAGAGGCTCCAGTTATGAAGGCTGTGGTTGTCAAAACCAATGGGATCCCATTTTGGGGTAGGTGAATTCACCATCCATTTTAGAACCGCCTATTTTAGTGGGGATTGAATCGGATGTTCACTGATTCACTGGGGGTACGATTTAGCTTTTGACCCATGGCCCCGCGGCTTTGCGCCCCCTCACTACTAGGGCTTCTTTACTTTTCGGGGAGCCCTTTTCTCCCTCAAGGTAAGGTAAGCGCTGGAAGAACTCGAGGGGCGTTGGGGAGGGGGGTTCACGGTCTAGTCACGAGTCTCGTCAAGCCTAATTAGTATCGCTGCCTTCAAGGCTTCGTAGTTGACGAGCAACCCCTGGCATCTTCTATAGCATCTGCTTTTGGACAGTGCGCTTACAGCCAACTTCCGGGCATCAGACTCACCATTGCAAGTAAATCTCGCATAGGCTTCGGTTCTCACAAACTCCTCTTCCCGTCTAGTCCGAGGTGCGCTGCAACTCAGGAATCAGTTCCTGGGAGCTTACCGGGCGAAGCTTTTCAGCGGGTCAAAGCCAAGGTTTGTAATCTGAAGCAAGGCCTTGGAGCCTTATGCAGCGGTTTAGTTTGATAAGTCTTCAAGCTGAAGGGAGTATCCTTAAAGGGGAAAGAAACATTGGGCACCCCGGAAACCAACACAACACTGGTTCCCCATGTTGTGAAGTTGACACTGGAGATCAGATGCCCATTCCGAGTCATCTCCGGATCTGTTCATTTGCCAGCTGCTGCTTGCAGTTCTCCATGACTTTTCACTTTTTTGGAAAACAATGTCTACATGCGAAGGTTCACTATGGGCCAGAATCCGAAAGTATCAGGTTTTTTTTCAGGGGGGGAATAGCGGAGGTTGATTTCATGGGCCTTCATGGGTCTATCTTTCTGGTTGGACATGTTGGGGATTAAACAAGAGGAACTTCCGTTGGAGTAGCGTTGGAAAGCACGTCGATCAGAGCGTGCTTTGCCCACTGTTCTTGTGCTTTGTATTTTTAAGCGTTTGTTCTTGCGCCTATGTCATGATGATTGTTTGTATTCAGACATGGCCATGGGTCAAAAGCCTGTACCCCAGTGAACATGCCAATCCCCACTAAAATAGACTAGGATGGGAGGTGCACCTACCCCAAAATGGGATCCCATTGGTTTTGGCAACCACAGCCACATTGGAAAAGCCAACTGCCCCCACGTGCCCGCTGCTTTGACCACGTGCGAGCAAAAACTGGGGCCCAGCCTGGCCCCAGGAAGACCGCCTTCAACGTCTCTGAGTGCAGCTTTCCGGACGGCAGTGGGCAGGTGGGGCCTCCCCTTTGAGCGTGACTACTATGGTGTATTTTCCCTTGGGTTTCAAAGGGGATTTATCACAGCTGGACATACGGTGTATTTCTGGTTGACATGTCCTTGTTGTTTCTGTTGGAGAAAGCTGTCGACCGAGGTGTCGGCTTTTGTCGCTTCCCTACCCAAAGGAGCAAGAGCTGATTCGTCCCATGGCCACCTGGCACGGGCCCAAGTCGTGAGCCAAAATTGTGGGGTTAAACCCAGCAGCCCCGAATTCCGTTGGGCTTCAGCCCTATAGTGCGCAAGCCTTTGAAGGAGTAGGCAAATACCCTGCAGACCAGATTCAATGCTTTCTGACGTTGCATCCTGCTTTTGGCTGGGATCTTTTTTGCTAAGAAGCAGTTACGAGGGAATCCTAGCCTTTTACATGTAGTAGCCTGTTTGGCATCGAACATCACGTCGGAATGCGAGTTTTGCAATGCATGGAGTGCCGGGGTTTCGGTGGTTGCCGGGGCTGGGGGGCTTGTCAGTATAGCACGCAGCTCATCCGACAGGAAATGGCTCGGAGTCCAGTTGGCTTGCTGTCAAACTATGAACCCCCCTTTCAGGGACCCAAGAAAGAAGTCTGAACATCGGATCCAACAGGAGGGGGGTCCCCTTTTGTTTCGGCTGAAAGGGAACCCACAGGAGCAGGATCATATCTCTTTCCCAGGCTTGACTCGCCTTGTCACTCCTTCTTTTGGTTGGTGTCTCTGAATTGTCCCCCAGTAGTGCCCTGTTACCTTTTTTGGGGGGAGGGTTCCCCTACTAAAATAGACTACAGCAAAAAGTTGGTACCCTTATTCTAACGTCTCTACTGGAGGACCTCGTCTCTGAATTGTCTACCTCGCCAAGCAAACAAACATACAACCACCCTCCCACCAGCTAATAGGGAAGTGCTCAGAACCCTGTAGAAAGACGACTTTCCTCTTGGTTAGTTGGCCTTTTTGCACTTCCATGTTAGTTGGTGGGAGGGTAGCTCATCTTCGCCGGGGCTCGGATTCCCGGCTGACCCGGCCATTGGATGTGCTGCCGCAGGTCTTGCTGCGGACCTGGGGGGAGCTCTGTATGCCTGTGTGCCCTCATACGGGGGAGGCGAGGAAACATGGAGATGCCGAAGAGATGTTGGTGTTGGCTCAGTTGTCTAAAGCCAACCTTCTGACCTTTTGGTGGTTGTTGCGCATGTGTTTGTCAAAGTTCCAAAAGATTGACCTTTGGGCAGGCGAGTTAGCAGTATGTTGGTTGAGTCCTGAATGACGATTTCCGTGGAATGATTCAATCAGGTATCTTCAAAGGTCCCCGAAGTTAAACCATACTCTAACTTGAAGATTGCCAATATATTTTAGCCATTTGTTCAAGTCTGGGGTAAGGACGTGACCTGCAAGTTGCTACCCACAAATCGGACAAAATTCATCCCAGGCTCCCTTTGGCCATCGTGACAATGAGAGACAATTCAGCTGTAAGTATGCGGGCCCGATTTGGTGTTCGTTTAAAGGGACGCCACAGCTTATACACATACCCATGACATAGACGGACCTTTGCGGAAAACCGCCGGCTCAGAGGAAGGACTTGACAAGAAGCAGACTTGTTTAAGGTATGCTCAGCATTCTTTGCATACAACGCACGAATTTGCGTTGTCTCTGAACTTGGGGGAAGCATCATATTGTTTGGGCAGTCCATTCAGGTGTTGGAAAGTGTGTTTGGCAAGCCAAACAGGTTTGTTGTTCCTTCCAGCTCTGTGTACCTTGCTCATTGAGTCGGTTCACGCTTCTTCCCCTTCATTGCAGTGAGGGGGCAAGGACTTCAACTTTTGCGTGGACAGTCAACTTACGGAAGTTGTCACGATGTCAATTTGACATCGTGCCGGTCTCCTAAACGCGTAATTACCCTCACTCCACTTAACGCGTGTACGAAGCCAGCACGGGTCATTGTGCAAGTCAAACAACACCATCTTCTGGGTTCGCATGGCAGGTTGTGTTTGCAGCCAATACCCGGTATGCGCGTGAAACCAGCAAGCTTGATCTCATTTACTGTGTGGACTAGCCCAACATGTCTGAAGAGTAGATTTCCCATCGAAAAGATTCCCCCAAACATCTAAAGTCCACTTGGTCAGTGAGATGTGATATCCTGTTCGACTGATTAGATCAGGAGGAAGCTCCCAATGACTGAATCTGGCATCCCATGCACAAAGGCTACCGCACGTGCCATGTCGCGCATTGCCAGTTGTGCAGTTAACATGTCAATATGGAAGGAAAAGGGCATGGGCCTCTGTGTTCAGTTATCGACCAAGAGAGGGTGTGTTTGTTTCCTCATGGAAAGCAACTGGGCAAGCAATAATCTCGCAGCGGTCGACGAATTTCAAGGACCTGGGTTTAGGATAGGTCTCCGCCCACAGCAGTGTGATACGATTGTCAGGCGGAGAAATCATCAATGGAGGAACATGCTAGGCATCAGGCCACACTGCAGATCAACACGGAACTGCCAAAGAGGGTTGCCCAAAAATAACTTCCTCCACAAAACCGGTGTCTTTGGGTTCCGACTCATAGTCTGCTCCTCTAGTTCCCGGATTTTCTGCGCTTCCACCTCCGAGTTTGGACCCCGTTTGGTCTAGTTGGTCCCGATGAACGCATGACTTTGCCATCCTGTTCTTCAAGTATCCAGCAACAAACACACAAACTGCATTTGAACAAAACACAACAAACAGTTGCTTTCCATACAAGGTCCCCCAGTAGTGCCCTTCTCTCCCCGTTTTGGGAAAGGGTTCCCCTACTAAAACAGACAAGAAAAAACAAGTTGGTACCCTTATTATTAAACCAGACGTCCTGAAAAAAGCTGATACCCTTATTCTAACGTCTCTACTGGAGGGCCCACATGTCCAGCCGCGGACGTGACACCTCGCTGGTTCGCCGCAAGCGAGCGGCCGGGAGGCGACGGAGGTGCCCTGCAACACCAGCTGCTTCGAGGTCCCGGGGACGCCCATCAAGTACCCCGAGCGCCTCTCCACGGTTGTTGTTGGGGTAGGTGCACCACCCATTTAAGCCTATTTTAGTGGGATTGGTATGTTCACTAGGAGTGCGGGATTTTGACCCATGGCCAATTGTTGGACACATGTGAAACAGTTTTGCCTATTGTGGTTTAGTGGCCGAAATCCAACCACTGAACCGTTAAAATGCTAAATGTGTTGCTCCCCCACGTCAACCAAGTATCCCGCAAATCCCGAGATCTGCCGGGCTTTCCGACGCGAAATGGGCGAGACCCAAAAAGCCAAAAAGGGTTCTCTTTGTGGTGCTACAAGCGTGTTCCAGTTTTTGGTTGGTGCGTTTGGGCGCAGTCAAAACGATAGAATGTCCTACCAGGCGCTCAGATGGACATGGAACTGGGAACCCCGAAGCAAAGGTTCAGTGCAAAGAAGTCTCCTTGGATGGTCTTCTTTTTGGGTAGGTTGAATTACAGGGAACTGGGATCCCATGGATGAAAGAGTTTCGGACGATTGTGATGGATGCAGTTCATTTAGGAGGGGAGGCTTCATGGTGGAACACCGGACCGGGCTCGATATTGTTGCGGCAGGTTAAGTGATCCTCGGTGTTTTGTCCGCCAAGTTCTGCTCAATTCTGCGGTCGAGGCGCTTAACATGCCGAAGGCATCCATGTTATATTCTTCGCTGACATGGATGTGTTTGTTTTTAGGGAAGTCCCTTTTTGGGTTTGCGATTCGAATCCAACACGATCTGGCCCCACTCCGGAGAATCCCTAGTTGCAGACAAGCCCACATTTTACATCGTTTGAGGATTGTTTCTATCATGCCGAAAAGACCAGCTTTGGTGTTGTTGATCTCGGATTCCAACGGTTGAAGACCCTTTGGGGGGAACACTAGAACAAAGGAATCAGGAGCCCAGCCCTCCATTCCCCCTCATGCTGAATGATATCTTAGACAATCGGACAAGGATGTCGGCGTTTATGGAGCTTCAAGCCTTCGCTGCTTGTTTTTTGCGGGCTGTTACTCCACAAAAGCTCCGGGGTCCAGTTTAATTGAGGCTGAAATACTTAATGGGAATGATTACCCAAGACTGAACCGCAGAGATTTGAAGCTCAAGCGGATGGGCCTTTTCTGACCTGTTGGTCCCAGAGTTGCTCTGGTCTTGGTGGCAGAAGCCGATTCGCTTTACTTTCAGGCAATCAGTGGTGGGGCGGCACCTGTCTCCCCTCTTGGCGGTTCCTCGTTGAACATCACCAGTCTCAGCACCTTTATCCCCCAAGCATGCTGTCGAGACGCACGTTTCAGGTACTCGATTTGCTCCCTATCAGGATTCTAAGCCCCCACTAGGCAACTGGGAGTAGCCTGGCAGATGTTGGCAGAATTGGGCTGTGCCTTAAGATCCAGGTTCACCCATGAAGGAAACTCAAATTTTGGAGCTGGGAAAGGGTCTTCGATACTATGCAGATGTTGACTCACTGGAATGTATATATATATATGCTTTATACACATGGCTCCTTTATCCATCCCTGCTCTTTCCCTTCTGACTTTCCCAATCTTCGCCTCGGTCGGGAGCCTCTGGGCGCTTAGTCGGAGAGTTTCTGGACGCAGGGTCAAACCCTTTGCACTCTCTAGGGTATACAATGCCTCGAGTGTGTGTTTTTCGTGTTTGTCCCCTAGAGCGGCAACTGCCAGCACTGGCAACCCTCTTGCAAAATAGGGCACCATGGTTGCCTCTCCTGTATGTTCATGAAGCCATCAAGCCGTTTGAATGCCAAACGGCACTTCCATGCAATCCTTGTTTTTTTGCTTTTGTTCTCGCTTTTCTCCCAACAAGTTGTGGAAGAGCCTTGAAACGCCTCACGGCCTCACGGACATGGGACACGGGACACGTCTCGGACAAGCGGAAAGCTTTCCGCTTGTCCGGCTGAGGTATATCTCCCACAGATCCCTGGCCTTTAAGCAGGGCCGCTGGGTGCCTTCCCCCGCCACGGTGGACAAGTTTGTGAGGCCGCGCGAGTCGGAGCATGGTGAGCATGGTGAAAGAAGCAGGGTGTTTCGCTGGCTGCAAGTTGGTTTGCCGTTTGTTTGTTTGTTTGTTTGGTTGGTTGGTTGGTTGGTTGATTGTGTCATTCAAGCTTTTTTTGTGTATTTTTTTTATTTTTGTATTTCTGTTTGTGATGAAATATGTTCCGGTGTTATGTTCATGTTATTATGTTTGCTTCCCTCTGTTTCCTTTGTCGCTTCATTTCTTCTGGGTGTTGTTTTCTCTTGGATTTTCGCGGAACAGGGCCCGTTGAGTTCTGGTGGGAGGGCTAGGGCTGATGTTTTTGTGTTTTGTTTTTTTGATTTCGCATTTCTTCAACCAGGGGTAGAAAAGGGTGCTGAAGGCAGCATGCTGTGTCTCTAATGCAAGAGTTTTATGAAGCAGGGGCCTTGCAAGACACTATTAAGCAGGGAGGGGCAGCAAAAAGGCCCAGGGAGCTTCTGGGGCATGTTGGGAGCCCTGGGGAAAACTTGCAAAAAATCCGACCCCCTGACATGCCCCAGGTTCTAAATGACTCTTTTCTGGGTCAGACGGATGCCGTCTGGCTGCCGCATGGGGACGCGTTCCTCATCGTGTGCCACTCCACCGCTACCCACTTGAGTTCATGGATGCGGAGATGTGCCCCATCATTCACTACACGGAAACGGGGGCCACGATTTTCCAGGGCTGGAATGCACTTCTTGACTCGCAGCACGTGTTGAAGGGCCTTACTCACGCTAAGATGGTGTGCCATCTCTTTCTTTGTCTTCGCAGTGGAGACAAAGGACACGAAATAGAGACGTAGCCGGTTCTGAACAGCCTCGTATTCTCGTCTGGAAATCATCCCGGTGGGTGGAAAGTATCGGCTACTCCATCAACTCTTGTTATCTGTGTAAGCATGCATGTTAGCTGTGTAAGCATGAGTGACCGCCTTCCTTTTCCTTTTCTCAAAGAGTCTGTTCAACTGGTCCGAAGTATTCGCAATGAGTTGTTTCGCGATGATTTGGAAAGGCTTGCGTGGGAAGATATCTCTGTGACCGGCCATGCTCATGAATCTTAGGCATTGTCAGGGAGGTGCTATATAGAACATAGAGACCAAACGAGCGAACGGAGGTGAACAAGAGAGAAAGGACATGGCACGGGATGCTGTAACCTCTTCACAGCCAACATCGAGCCTTTAGTTGTGCTCACTTTTCCCACAACCCGAATGTTTGCGGCTTCTCATTTCAGTTTACGCGTATATATCAATGGATCCGGCCCCCCATTGAACGTGGAATTATAGCTTTGAAGAGCAATGGGCCTTGCAAGTCAAACAGACTTCGACTCGAGCTGAACCCAGATGGCCTGTCCAAGAAGAAAGTGATGGCCTCCCAAGGCACAGTCAGAGCTAGTGGTCTGTTGGGGTTCCGAATAAATGCTCGCGACCAGGGAGGATGGCCAGCAATGGTCTGCTACCTTCGAATGCTGGGACTTCCAAACAGGCGCCTTGGAAGGTCGAACTGGGTCCGGGTAGAGATGTGCTGCCCAATCACCAGCAAGTTCCAGCTTGATTGAAAGGGAAGGGTCCCAGTCTACATGGGCCTGGGTAATTTCGGCAGGAACCGCTGCATCTGTAGAAAGGAAGGTCAATTCGGTATTTGTTGAGTTTTGTGCCCTGGGTGCTCAGCCGAGCACACGACTGCTGCGCTCTTATCTGAGAGTGTGTGCTGCCAAGTATTTTATTCAATGGGGCATTATTTGCTTAGTGTCACTTACGAGTCTTGACAAATTGAGTTTAGTTGAGTAGTTAGTTGGTTGCTTAGCCAGTTGGTTGGTTAGTTAGTTGGTTAGTTAGTTGGTTAGTTAGTTGGTTAGTTAGTTGGTTAGTTAGTTGGTTGGTTAGCTGTTTGGCGCGGTCGGTTAGTTGCTTAATTGCTTATGGTTGGACAGTTTGTTGGTTCGTTGGCAATTGTTGTGCTTGCTTGCTTGTTTGTTGGCTTGCTTCCTCGCCTCCTTGCCACCTTGCCAGGCTTGAGTGCGTACGTGCTTGCTTGCTTGGTTTCTTGCTTAGGTTTGCTTGCTCGCTCGCTGGTGTGTTTGTTTGTTTGTTTGCTTGCTTGCTTTCTTGCTTGCTTGTTTGCTTGCTTGCTCTCTTACTTGGCTCCTTTGTATGTTTGTTTGTCTGTTTGTTTGTTTGTTAGTTGGTTGGTTTGTTTGTTTGTTTGTTTGTGTGTTTGTTTGTTTGCTTGTTGTTTTGTTTGTTTGTTTGATTCTGCGTGTGTTTGTGTGAGTTGCGTTGTATGTTGAATGTTTCTTTGGGTTGGTGTGTTGGTTGGTTGCTTGTTTGTTTAGTTGTTTGGTTTTTTTGCGTGTTCATTGTGTGTGTTTGTGTTTGTGTTTTTTGTTTGTTTGTTTGTTTGTTTGTTTGTTTGTTTGTTTGTTTGTTTTTGTGTTAAGAAGCTGCATGCGTTGGGACTGGGGCCCCAGGGCAAATTTAACGTACAGGGATGTTCAACGATGGAGGCGTCATTCAGAGGAAAGCCGTGAGGAAACTGCCTATATTGGAAAGTGTTGTTGAGATGTCCGTAGTATTCTCTTGCTTCCTGCCTGTTTCTTGCGCAAGCAACTACCCTATGAGTACAACCTACTGCGGGGGAAGCAACCTAGCTGTTCGAAGAACCAGGGCCCTTCCCGGCTGTCCTCAGATTCGACAACGTTGCCAATTCGCGGTGGCAGTTTGTTGGGTGCAGATTGGACACGAGCATTGCAGCTAACGCAGGTCAGATCACTCGGAGCCTTTCATTGCCAGGTCTTGTGGTTTCGGAGTTTGTTGCTGTCTCAGGCCCAGTGGGGTTCCCGATCTGCGATGGCTACGACCCAAAAAATTGGCCAGATGAGGTGGGTGTTTGGCAGGCGTGGACCAGTCTCAGGAGAGGAGGATACGTCTTGAACATGTGTTTGGCCAGAATGCTTCTTTCTCACACGCAGACTATCAGATAACCAATTTGTGATTTGGATGGGTGGTTTGGGGATATGGACCCCTGGTTCTTCTAGAGGGCAAATGGATGATGGGACACCAGCCTCTAACCTCCAACCAACCAATTTGAGGGAAGCTGAGACGTGCCTCTTTAGCACATGAGCCAGTACCTCATCAACGCCTCCTAAACGGGGATCTGTGAGCCAGTTTTACTGTTGATCCATGGGTTCGATTCGCGAAGTTCACGCGGCCAACCTAGGCGACAAGCTTCGCTCCGATTGGAACTCAAGACTTCCGCCAGAAAAGCCCCCAGCTGGCCCCCGGTGATCTCATGGCTTTTAGTCCTCGAAGGTTTTAGCCATTGGCTACTAACCCAGGTCCCCCAGTAGCCGTTTCTTTGGTTGGGAGGGTTCGGGACCCTACTAAACTCGACTACAGAAAAAGAATCGAGTACCCTTATTCTAACCTCTCTACTGGAGGAACTACTAACCACTTTCTCCTTGCGGGGCCTCCAATTACATAAAGGCCTCCAATTGCGCTGAAGTCGCGGAAAACGCAGTTGCCCACAAACTGCACAGACCGCGTCTGTGATGCTCTGCCTAACCAAAGGGCAAAAAGAAACTCAGGGTCCCACAACAGGTCCCACGCTTTGGCATCTGACTCACATTAGCCTACATCTGCAAGATCCAAAATGCACGAGCTGGAAATCGTGAACACAGCGGAGCTTGTTCCACCATCAGTTCACCTTATGCCCAACTCGAGTGCAAGCCGCAAGTTTGGGGCGGCTAGGTCTTGCGGAAAAAAGCGATCAACGATCCGGAGACTGTGGTTCAATTGGCTCCCATACTTGCTTCAGCAAGTGTTATTGTGGGTTGCCCCGACAATCCACAAACGAGGAATTCGTGCGGGCTTTGGTTTGGGATCTTGTCACGTTAACAGCAAGTGACTTGAATTCGTGGAATCGACTTTGTGTGTGTGTGCTTGTCAACGGTACTTTGTTGGGAGTTGATGAACTTTGGTGCATTTTGCTTGGATGTTAGGACTTAAACTTTTTGCCAACTCATGGGTTTTCAGTAGACCACCAAAAGTTAAACTTTTAGCAGGGGAGCAGAAAGCAACCGAGTTCAGAGGGAGACCAACGACGCCACTCTTTCGGGCAGTTCTTCCAATGACATTACCCAGGTGGTATCATCACCCAGGTGGCGCTCGTCTTGGAAAATGTTCGGCCATTTCGGGCAGGTGGTGACCTGCCCGGACGGTGAGATCGACCCTCCCCCCGTGCCTTACCGGCAGACGGCTTCGAAGCCATGCGAGAACTTGACGGAGACCTGTAGCGAGGCCCAGCTGCAAGTGGTTGTTTCTTGTATCCCCACCCCTTCAAAATGGAATTGGGGTAGGGGGGTGACCCCTGGAATTCCACATTTATGGTGCCATTTCCCTTTTGTGGGGAAGAGTAATAAATGGAATTGGGGGACCCCCCTTCCCCTTAAGGCAGGGGGGATGTATTTTCTTCAACTTTGCTGAAATGAATATACATATATATATATATATATATGTATATTAAAATTTCCCCCTGTTGGTTTTAAAGCAAATCTATGACTACTGGAAATATATTTATGTTTTTCCAGCGGGCTTGAGCAAATGGAAGCTTGTCTTCGACTTTGTCTAGGTCGCCCAGCTAGGCGCCCTTTCTCACCGTTTCTTTTTGGTTGGGAGGGTTCCCCTACTAAAATAGACTACGAAAAAAAGGGTACCCTTATAGCCGTTCTGGTCCAAAACCATTAGGGCTCAGGGATCGGGCTCCCAGGGCCTGGCGACACTCCCCGGTGCGTCAGGCGTCCACCAAGTCACGGTCTCCTCCGTGGCGCCCCGCTTTCTTTTGTGCGCGGCCCCCCTGGCTTGCTCTGCTGTGTGGCGGTGGTCTCTGGTGTGCTGGGGCTTTGCCTGTTGCTGGCTGTGGCCATGTTGTCCCGGGACCCGGCTGTGCTGAGGGCCCTGTCTGCTCTTTCTTCCACCACCCTGGCCACACTTGATGCCCTGATGTCTGAGGTGGTGTTCTTTCAGGATCCCGATCCTGAGGCCTGGCGTGGCCGTGCGGACCTTCACTTCAGGGTTGATGCTGGGATCTCCCCTACGGAGTGGCTCTGCTCTGCCTTTTCTCCTGGCCTTCCGCCTGACCTGCATGCCACGCCCCGGACGCGCCGGCTCATGTTTGAGATGCTTCTGAGAGCCCCGGTGCAGTTCACCGCCCTCCTCAACCGGCCTGGCGGTCATTTTAGGGTGAAAGGGGCGTCCTTGGTGGCTGGCACCATGCCTCGTGTGGCCCTGGTGGACCTTGATTCACAGGTCTGGATTGTCCCTGACCCGGACTTTGATGCTCCGCTGGCTGTCACCCACCTGTTTGCGGGGTCCTTCCATGGATGGGGTGCAGTTGGTGGGACTGGACATCCAGCAGGAGCTCATGGTGGATTTCTCGCCACAGGTCGTTGCCTCGCTGTCGGTTGCGCTGGATGTGCCCTGTGTGCTCCCGGTCAATCTGACCAGTTGGGATCCCACATCAACCCAGGCTGTGATCCTTGCGGATGTGGCTGACCGTGGTCTTCTGCATTGTGTCCCCTGGGTGGGCACTCACGTGGCCACGGCTTCTCCGCCTTGCCCACCTTGGTCCCGGGCTGGTGAACAGGATGGGCTTGGGGACCCCCATGGCATGTCCTTCGTGGCCGCCCTGGCTTGGGCTCGGGCTGCTGCCCCTCTGGCTCTCCTCATGGAGTGTGTTGATGGGTTGCCGGATCACCCGCACTTCCCTATCATCCTTGCCGTTGTCCAGTGGGCTGGCTACCGGGTCCATCACTCACTGGTGCATGACCATGCCACCTTTGGGCCATGTGCCAGACGCCGTTGGCTTGCCACTCTGCTGCGGTATGATGTTGAGGTGTCGGTGCCTGTTCCTACGGCCACCTTTGGTGACCCTGTGCCTGTGCCGTGGACCCACCAGGACTTCCAGGTGCAGGAGGCACCCGAGATGGATTTTGCCCGCTTGCTCGATGACCAGGTTCTCCGGCACTATACCAACCCTGCCTTCCTACCTGGCGCTGAGCCCCATCAGCACTCTGCACAGGAGGTCCTCCAGAGGCGGCTGGCCCCTGATGATCAGCCACTGCGCACACTCTGTGCTCGGTACTCGCAGCAGCATGTCCTGGCCGCTGCTACCCTGGCTGACAGAGGCCTTTTTGCCCAGCTCACCCTGGTTGATGGCCGCCCGGCCTTTTTCTCTCCTGCCCAGTGGGCACTGTGGCTTGGGGCAGTCCGACCCCTGGTCTTTCCTCCCACCTTGGAGGAGGTGTTCCATGGGTTGGGTAACTGTATCTCAGTACCACAGGCAGCCATTCCGTGGACTGTCTTCCTGAGTGCAGTGGGTCTCATTACTGAGGTACCTGAGCACCTCGTTCTGCGTGTGTGGCGCTATCGGCTTCGGGGTGGTGCCCTACGTCCTGCAGTCGTGCGTGGGTGGTACTTTCTTGGAGCTCTGGATCAGCTCATCGACTTTGCCTTCCACCCTCAGGCCCCTGTGCGGGCCGACGCGGAGGGACCGCCAATTGTTGTTGGTGAAGAGACCTTTCCCAGGATGGTCTTTCCCTACCGCATGGGTGCTGCTCGATCCACGCTCCACTCGCCCTCTGGTTTGAGTGTCGAGGTGACGTACCCTGTTGGGGCTGCTGTCTCTTTGGTCCTTCTGGCAGCTCGCCTTCCGCCTGTTGTCTTGCCCCTTCTTGCTGTGTCGACCTTCGCTCGTGTCTGGCTCCCTCGTGAGTCAGCCGGAGACTTGACCGGACATAACTTGGCTGTCGTCCCTGCTCAGGAGCCAGGCCAACTTGCTCCCCAGCCCCCTCCCCCCGTCCTGGTGCCACCGGAGGTGAGGGTCTTTATCCATGACCCCTGCGGAGGGAGCATGTGCTTCATGTCCCCAGAGTTGCTACCCTTCGGCAGCTCATCTGGGCCCTGCCGCTCCCTGACCGTCTCCTGATGCATGTGCGACCGTATGTCCAGGGACGCCCGGTGAGTGATACCACTACGGCTGAGAACCTTGCGGGTCAGCATGTCTTGCTGCGCCTCTTCCCTCTGCCTGGTGGTGGCTTTGGCTCGAGTGAGACTGCCGTCTCCCTGGCTTCGGATGATGATGAGATGGTCCCGGTTGATCCCTTGACCATGCATGACCCGTGGGCTCCCCCCCCGGGCCTCGTCCCCACTGCCAAGTCTGCACCAGCTGGCCCCAGGAAGGGGCATGCCAAGTGATCAGCTCCTACTCCCGGAGGACCATGCCTTCACCTTGGCAGATCTTGGGGTTGCGCCTGTCTTGGTTCCGCGTGGGCAGCTTGGCCCCCTTGTGTCCGGCCTGGCATTCTGCCCTGTCAGCTTGCTTGCGGAGAGCCTCAAGGCCCCGGTCACTGCTCCCACAGCCCTCATTGTGCCGGGGACCTCCCGGGCTTCCTTGCCTGCGCTTCCTTCTGCTGTTGGTGTTGAGGGTCCCTTGCAGATCAGTGTCCTGGACCCTGTTGCAGCTCTCACGTACAAGCGGCAGGTCGTGCTTGTCCACCTTGCTCCGGGCATTACCTACCGCCCTTCTGTTGAGGCTGCAACGGTCATTGACACCGTTGACTTTGTTGAGCTTGTGGTTGAGAGCTTTGAAGCCCTAGCAACTGACTTTGCGGGCATCTTGGCCAAGCCTGCTGCGGACCTGCGGGCCCTCTTGGAGGCTCCTCATCAGTCGTCGGTCGTCCAGTCTGTCTATGCCCTCCGTGTGCTCCATGGCTCCGTCCACAACTTGGGTCGCGTGGTCCAGTTTACGGTCAAGCTCCCGTTGACCCACAGGCTCGCATTCCTGCGTCTGTCGGCACTGGGCCCTTCTTCGTGCGTGATTTCTTGGCCCAAGGAGCTGACCCGCAGGACCATTCGGTGGTGCACCGTTTCTGGCCTCTCAGTGTGGAGGGCCTCAGGGCGGCCTTGGCTGTCTCCCGGGCCCTGGAGGGGTTTGCTGGTCTTGCCCCACTGAAGCGGGGTGTCACAGTCCGTGTCCTGCACTCTCACATCGCGGATGCTCGAAGAGCCTTGTTGCAGGAGGATCCTCGCTTTGTTGAGGCCAATCGGTCCCTTGTCCCCCGGGTCACTTTCCTTGCGGAAGGCTTGCCGTTTGGGGCCACGCCTGGTGCAATTGTTGAGGCTGTTCTCAAAGCTGTGGGTGCACCCTGCATCCCCTTGCGGTCTTTCCGGCGCAATGGCATTCTGGTGTGGGTCTTGGCCTTTGCTCAGGCCCCTGCTCTCATGGATTTCACCCTCCTGTTTGCTGGGCGCCCGTGTGAGGTCATCCTGGCCCCTGAGCCTCCTCCTCAGGCTCGCAAGGCCAGGCCTAAGGGGGGGCGGACTCCACAGTCCCTGCCCAGCGCTGAGACCCCGGGCACCTCTGCCACTCGGCCTTGCCCTTCTGGTCTCGCCCCGACGGGGCTCCAGTCTCGGGTTGAGGCCCTTGAGCAACGCTTGGGGGGTCTTGAGGTTAAGCAGGACACCCTTGCGGACAAGGTTGACACCCAGTTTGCGCAGGTTTCCGCCCAACTCACGCGCATTTTGGCCAAGCCGGCTCGTGCTGGTGCCGCGGAGGATGCTTTGGCCCCTTCGGCCAAGGCAGCTCGCATGGGGGCTTGACTATCTGGGCCGCCATGGCCCTCTTGGGGGATGGGTCCCTGGGTGACCCCCTGTGCCTTGGGTTCTGGTACTGGCAGCTGCTGCCTATTTTCTTGTTGGTGTACTGCGCCCTTTCCTGTTGCTATTTGGTGGCTGTTGCTGTACCGTGTTTTTGATGCCACTCGCGGCTTTCCTGGTGAGGGCCCTTTTTCCTTGCGCTCCCACAATGTCGGTTCTCTGGCGGCCCATCCTGAGCTCTACTCTGTCGATGCTCACCTTTTCCTGGTTCAGGAGGCCCGCCTTTCGGCTGACAATGTGCGTTCTGTTACTTTTCGGGCGTCCGAGGCCGGCCGTTCTCTCTTGCCTGGCCCCTTGCTCCCCGTTGTCCCTGACGTGAATGGTGTCCGTCGGGTGGAGTGGGGGGGTGTTGCCTCCCTGGCCTGGAAATGCGTTGTTCATCCTGTTGCTCCTCAGCAGGATGCATCTGGGCTTCTGCCCTCCCTACTGGCTTCTGGCCGCTTCCATGCAGTGTGGGCCACGCTTGGTTCTTTTCGCATGCTTGCGCTCAACTTTTATGCGATTTCTGGTGCCTCCTCTGACGATGTGATCTTCAGCCAGAATCAGGACTACCTCGCTGCCATCTTTGAGTTTGCAGCCCAGTACACTGCTGATCACCCTGTGGTCCTTGCCGGCGATTTCCAGGCCGACCCCTTGGCATACGCGGCGTGTGACGATGCTGTTGCTACCGGGGTCTGGCTGGACCCCTTGCAGCCTCCGACGGAGGCGACTATGAGGGAGCCCACTTTCAGTCGTGACAAGACCTGGCTTGGGTCTGGCCCCCGTACGGCCATCGACACGGTTTTGCTCAACGGCCTTGCTTCTCGCCTGCTCCAGTCGGCTGAAGTGGAGCCCTTGTGTGGCTTTCAGCATGCCCCTGTGACCTTGAGGTTTGCGGCTCCGGATGAGGTCCCACGGGCTGTTGCCTTCGCGGCCTTTGCTCCGCTCGACTTGTCTGGGCTTGTCTCTGAGGACCAGCGTGCTGTTCTTGCCGAGGACATGTGGCAGTCCACGTACCGGCCCGCCCTGGATTCCCTTGGAACTGTGGAGGATGCTTGGTCTCTTTTCTGTGACTTTGCGCTTGCCACTCTTCTCCAGTCTGGTGCCCGGTGGGGGCGCGGCCGCCGTTGTCGGGGTACCCTGCCCCCGCTGCGCCCCCAGCAGGCCGTCGGGCGCCCCTTTCCTTCATACCATCCCATCGCCCGCTTGGCTAGACTGCTGTCTCTGTCGCGGGAGCTCTTCTATCGGTTGGTGCGGCTCCCGCTTACCTCGGTTGCTGATGCTCAGGTCACGCACCGCACCCTTAGGCGCTTTTGCCGTGTCGCTCGGGAACTTCGGTTTGCCTATACGGCTGAGGACCTCACCCCGGTGGGTGTTGCCCCTTTGTGTGAGAGGGTTGAGGCTGCCCTCCGTGATGCCCACCTCACGCGGCAGCGAGCCGCTGTTGCGCGTTGGAAGGAGCGTCTCCGCCATTCGGCCCTTCACTCAGGTAAGGAGGTCTTCGCTCACCTGCGCAGTGCCACCCTGGCTGCTCACTCCAACTCCCTGGCTGGTCCTGATGGTGCCCCGGCGTACCATCCTGCAGTCGCCCTTGCGCACGCTGCGGACCAGTGGAACACTATCTTTGAGGTGCATGCGGAGGACTTTCCTGTGGATCCGCTCATGCGCCCTGTCCAGCATCTCCTTGAGCAGCGTGCCTCTCCCTTGGTTTTGGACCCCGTGTCTGCTGAGGACCTGGCTGCGTCTGTTGCTCGCAGGAGCCCTGATTCGTCTGCTGGCTTGGACGGGTGGAGGGCCGTTGAGCTCCGCGCACTGCCTATCCCTGTGTTCCGGCTCCTCGCCTATCTTCTTCAGCAGGTGGAGCTGGGCCGGTGGCCCATGCCGCGCATATTCGGCACTGCTCGCTTGGCTGTTCTGGACAAGGGTGCTGGCCCCGCCCCTCTGTCCAAGAGGCTCATAGCCGTCCTTCCTATCTGCTACCTGGCGTGGTCGTCGGCAAGGTTTCGAGCCTCCACTGCGTGGCAACGGGCTGTGTTACCGCCTGAGGTTGTCGGTGGTGTCCCTGGTCGCCGTGTGGAGGATATCACCCATCACATGGCGCTGGATTTCCATGAGGCGCGTGCCACTGACGCCCCCTTTGCGGCCAAGTGTTTTGATCGCCTTATGCCTCGGCAGATTGTGGCGCTCCTCACTGCCTTGGGTTTCCCTGTGGCCGTTGCTCGCGCCTGGTGTGGGAACTACGATGGCTTTCGTCGCTTTTTGTCCTGGCGTGGAGCGGTTCACCCTGAGCCCCTGGCCAACCACAATGGTATTGCCCAGGGGTGCTCCATGTCCGTGCTTGCGGCAAATGTGCTGATGTCAGCGTGGTCCCTCTTGATACGGCACTTCCCTGGTGTCACGCCCCGTGTCTTTGTTGATGACGGGTATATGACCGTGACCACCTTGGATGCGATCCCCAGCTTGGTCCAGGCCGTCCGTGCTACGTCTCTCTTTGACTCCCTCGCTGGCCAGCAGTTCAACCTCCACAAGTCCGGTTGGTGGGCCACTCAGGATGCTTGTGTGGCTGAGCTTCAGCCTGCCTTGCCGCAGGCTCCCCGTCTGAAGGCCTTGCGCCCCTTGGGGGTCACAATCAACCTTGACCTCCGCGGTACCCGGGATGCCCGTGCACCGGCTGTTGCGAGCTTCAGGCGAGCTCTCCGGGCCATCAGGAGCCTCCCGCTCTCTGCTGCTTCTAAAGCGTCCTATGTTGCCCGCAAGGCCATGCCCATGCTGTCGTATGCCGCTGAGCTCAACTTTGTGCCCAAGCGCATCCTTTCTGCCTTGGCTTCGGAGGTAGCCTCAGTGCTCTGGGATGGTCGGCCCATGTGGAGGTCCCGGGAACTCCTGCTCGCGGTTGTCCATCCCGGCCACTTGGTCCATCCTGAGTATGCGCTGCCATACCGCACTATTCTGAATGTTGCGGCCCATCTCCAGCGCTCGGAGGTTTTCAGCCTCAAGTGGCGGATCGCCTTTACCAATCAGCGCCTGCTGCCTTCGCCACCTTTGTGTCGGCGCTCACTGCGTGCGGTCTCCGGTTTCAGGCCCCTGCCTCCGTTGCCTTTGATCATGGCCCCTGGCTCTCCCTGTTTGGCATGTCTCTGCGCTCGCTTAAGCGTTTGCTCCAGTGGACTATTCCTCAGCATGCCTATGCCAGGGCCTGCCGGGGCAAGCGTGCGGACATTGCGCATGGTCCTACTGGTCTCCTGGATGTGGCCTTTTCTCGCTCTCCCTGGAGTGTTCCCCCGTGTCCGCGGTGGACCTCCTTTTCCCGTCTCCTGCCCTCCAGGAAGGCTGTGGCCCCGGCGGTTGTTGTTGGTTCGGCTGTCACTGCGGACCGGCTCCATGCCTCGGGCCTGTCTGGTAGCCCCCTCTGTCGGTATTGTGGGCGGGAACAGGAGACCATTGGTCACCTCGTTGAGTGTCAGGCCCTGCCTGAGGAGGTTGGCACTCCCCCCCCTCTTGTTCCTGATCAGGGGCCTGCCTTCGCCACTCATGGTCTGCTTGAGGTCCCTGCCGATCTGCAGTCGGCGTTCTGTGCTGCCCAGCCGTGGCCTCCTACTTCCCCTTGGCCGCGCCATGGCCTTGGGCACGCCACTCACCTCTGGACTGATGGTAGCGTTTACTTGCCGCAGCACCCTTTCTTGGCCGCTGCCGGCTATGCCGTCGTGTCTGGGTCGCGCGCCACTGTCGATGCTGGTGCGGTTCCGGGTGTTTTTGCGGACAACTATCGTGCGGAGGTGTATGCCATTGTGCGTGCGGCCATGCACGCTCGGGGGCACCTGGTTGTGCATACCGACTCCCAGTCTGCCGTCCAGGCGTGGCAGGCAATTTGTGCGGCTGGTGTGGTTGCTCCCCACATAGCGGCTGCTGACCTCTGGCAGGTCCTGTGGTCTCTTGTCCGGTCGCGTGCTGTGGGTGGTTTCATCCTTGAGCTTCATTGGATTCGAGGCCATGTGGTCATCTCGGCTGCTACTCATCCAATTGAGGCCCTGCATGCTCGGTGCAACCATGCTGCTGACCTTGCGGCCAAGTCTGCCGCTCGGGTTTCCTTGGCTGTCCCTGCCCGCAGGCTTGATGCTCTCTTCTTCGCTACCTACCGCCGCCACTTGTGGTTGCAGAGCCTGTTTCTTGCCCTGCCGCGCACCCCCCTTCCCCCTGTGCCTGTCCCTGACCCTGGTGAAGCCCTGTGCCCTGTGGCTCCTGCCCCTCCCCCGGAGCCTGCACCGGGCCCGTGCCATGGCCCTCCGCGCTTCTGCGCTGCTTTTCCCCCGCCAGGAAAGCCTGATGATTGGGTTATGGGTGCCTCGTCCTGGGAGGCGTGGAGCAGCTTCCTTCATGGTGCAGTTTGGCTACGCGCTGAGGAGGCCTTTCAGCCGGGTCTGGCGGTTGCGTTGGTGGTGTGGAGGCGCTACCCCGTCATCCTGCCCTATCAGGACGGCCGCGCTGCCACAGTGCAGGACCTGCTGGTACACTTCAAAGTTGTGTCACCCGGAGGGCCTGTCTTGCTTTTCCAGGCAAGTGGGAGCCCCGTCTGGGTGCGTATGCGGGCCTGGCGTGGCCCCGCAAGGCCTTCTCTGGAGTGCGCCTGCTGTGCACTCCAGAGGAAGATGCCTTCCTAGAGAGGACTTGGATGCGGGCGGCCCGTCTGGGCCGCGTCCCTCGCGATTGGGCCTTTTCCCTGGGGTCCCTCGCTTGATGGCGCTGGTTGCAGTGGCGCTTGCGGCCTATGCCGCTGGGCCTACGTGATGTGGGCTGGGATGAGAGGGCTGCCTGCCCTTGGAGGCTGTTTCACCTCGTCGTGTGCTTTCTGCCACAGTCTGTGGTATGTGTCACTGGTGGGCACCTGTCCCACTAGGCCTGGACAGATGGTTGGGCGGCATGCCCCTCCGTCAGCCGGCGAATCGTCGCCCGCCGTGTGCCAAAAGGGTACCCTTATTCTAACCTCTCTACTTGGAGGACCTAGATGTTGGTTCGAGTTGCTTTGGGTTTCCCTTCAAATACCAACTAAAGCACCTGCCCTTGCTTCCCTGTTGTGGACTAGATATTCGGATTTGTTTGGGGTAGTTTCGGGCTGAACCCGTTGGACCACCAACAAAACGCCGGCGTCCGAGCTTCCCTCTTTGTGACTAAGGGAGAAGAGGTTCCCTTCAAAAAGGCAAAGCCAAAGGTGGCGGCCACTGAGGAAGACATCACGTGGGCTATGACAGTTGGCATCTACACAGAGCCTGAGTGGTACCCTGGCCTTACGCCTACCAGCTCAAAGGAACCTCGGCTCACAAGGCGCTGATAGGCGCTGATGGGAAGGCTGCTGAAGGTGTCAAACTAGGAGCTGCAAAAGTGCACGACTACAAGTCGCGCAGTACGCTGGCAGATTTCTTTGCCAGTGCTTGGGTTGCATCCACACGCCGCACTTCTCGAGCGGCTAAGGAGCTTGCAAAATCGGCCACCTCCAATAGTTGCAAACGACATGCTGATTCTTCAAATTGATGCGTTCGGCATCATAGATCTGCATCAGGTTTCCTCCCAGTCCATTTCCATCAGTTTCTATGGAGTTTCGGTCGCGTTGTTGCCCTTCATCCGTGAATCCCAGGACGAGTTCCAGCTCTACTTGAGTGAGGCGCTGCTTCAGCATGTTCAAATGCCTCACCACGCGAGTGTCCAAGCCGTTTGTTTGGTCATGGCAAAGGTTTGGAATTCCCAGGATTGGAAAGGTATGATGCCGAGGGGCACACGGATACGCCTTCACAAGCATTTTACTAGCCTCAACGTCGACTGACTTGGGCGTTGCTTAAGCGATTGTGCGGTCTACTCACCTTTAGCCTTGACCTTTGACCTCGTTTTGTCCTGGTCCGGAAGGTTCGCCTTCTCCAGTTTTTGCAGTTCTGGGGTTTCCTTTTGGCTTTGCATTTTCCTTTGAACCCTGAGAAAAAAGGATCCGGGCCTCAGAAAAGCAGCAGTTTTGGGGTATTTTGGGGTTTGCTTTTAGCTTTTGGCTTATTTCCCTGTGAACCCTGAAAAAAAGAAGATCCGGGCCTCACAAGAGCACATGCCCAATTGGAGACCAGGTGCTGGGCAGTTGCCCGCCGCCCTGCCAGCCGGGGCCCTACTTCGAGCCCGTGGACGGCGGCGTGGGCCGGGTTTGCCGGGGGCTGACGCCGACGGACAACTCCAACTCCTACTTCACCGTCCGGGCGCCTCGCTCGGCGTGGGGGCCGATGGGAGAAACAAATCGCGGTAAAGAACCGTCCCGGTGCTGCCTGGGCATCATTTCTTGTAATGAACACATTGGACTGGTGGCGGCACAAATTGATCAATAGGACACATTGATTCCACAGCTCTTCCAACATGTGCAAAATTATTGCTGGTTTGTCAAGAACCATGTTCCTTGACCCAACTGCTTTTATTTTTGCCTGCCGGCAGTTTTCAGTGTTTGCACACTCTGGTCACTCAGAATTGCAAAACGGCGTGATTTGCCGGCGAAAAGGCGTACTTTGCTGGCGAAACGGCGTTTTTCTTTGCCTGGTCACGAGCTGGACTCACGGCGAGCATTTTTTCTCCGAAAGAACATTTTCCAGCAACCGGCAAACATACTGCTGTTTCGGGAAACGGCTTCAATTTTACATGGTCGGAAGGTCCAGGTATATATATATATATATATTATATATATATATACATACAGGGTTGGGGCATTCAGATGACGAAATCCCTGAGGACAATAGGAAGGGTATTTGGTTCAAGGTGGAAAAGGGTTCATCAAGCTTGGGCGTTTGCAGGTTGGGGTTGCGAGGCTTGCTACTTCCTTCGGGAGATTCGGGGTAGCCTAAGAACCATCCTTCTATGTGTTGTAGGAAGAAGCTTTACCAGAAGAGAAGACCTCAGATTTCCTTTCCGTTTTGGACCCAAATACTGCACGGCCAAGTGAGAGAACAAAAGACTTGCCCAATACTATTAGTTTCCATTGTGATGGGCAACCAGGAAAACCACCAATGCAAAACCAGAGGCCAGAAACTCGAAGTCGACTGGTTTCCTACCGAAGTGGCTTGCCCGGAAGCACTGCTCTATGGAAAGGGGAATGGCGGAAGACTGCGATCCGTGGGAGCCGCAAATTGAATGCGAGCGAATTGTGCCCTTTAAATTCACTGCTGCGCGTCTGGCGCACTCAGAGTTTCCAATTGGAACCATGCCATAAAGATGCAAGGGCATTTGTGAGTTGCTACTGGGACAGTAGCACTATGACCCATTCAGAAACCTAGGGACCCCGATTGAATGGCAAAGAGAACCCAACCTGGGATCTTGGCCGTCACACCGCAATTCACTAACATGTGCTGCAATATTGCTAGCTTACCTACCTGCCTACTTGTCTGCCTACCCACGTACAGGCACACTGCATGCGTGCAGAGAGGGGGATAGAGAGAGGGAGAGAGTGACAGACAAAGAGACAGAGACAGACGGACAGGCAGACGAGTCGGGCACTTAATAGCGAAACAAACGAATGCAAAACGCCTAATTGCGAAACAATGCAGGCAATAGCATAAAAAAATACCTCATAATGACTGTTACAAGGCCTTACAAGCACTCTTACAAGGACTCTTACAAGAACTCTTACAAGGACCCTCACAAGGCCTCACATGCACACACATATATACATATATATATATATATATGGTACCGTGTTCCGTGTTGCTACCCCCCCGCCCCAGATCCCAGATGGTATGGGTTCCCAGGACCCCCCCCTCCCCCCAGCCTGAGACCCCGAGCCCCCGGATCCTGGCACCTGCGGTGGTCACGGCCCCGCGCACGTAACCTTGGTCTCGCCCGCGCATGTAGAGGGCTGGGTTTCGTGGTAGGCGCGGCACTTTGGGCAAGTTTTCGTGGGTCTTGCCCGCGCGTGTGTCCCTCAATAAGGCAAAACACGTGAGTCTCGCACGCGCATGTAAGCAAAAAAGCATTACGGCTGAGCGTTATGTTAAGAAATGTTGTATTCTTAGGCAGGGGCTCGGGAATTTCTTACGGAGGGTCCTCGGTAAGAAATCTATATTTTGTTCAGGGTCTAGATTTAAGAAACGGGCGCCCGTGAAGTGCCTGCGCCCGGCTGCTGCGGCTGCGGCACAAGCTCTTCACGGCCACGCAGGCCGGGCAGACGGGACGCGCTCGTCGCAGCCACGAGGTTTCAGCTCCCACCTGAATCTGGGCCCGTTGGACCCCTCAAACCCCTCCGCTCTTTCCAGATAGTTCCTGAGCGCTTACGGTCATGCTGTGTGATAAGAAATCCCTTTTCACTGTCGAGAGTCTCGCAAATTTCCAAACCCTGCGGTGGAATGAAGAAATGTGAGGTTTTTCTGAGACTCTGGGAGGTAAATTTTGTGGGGGTCTTAGCTTCGTATTGCAGATTTAGAGGGAACCACTTATAGTAGCCAAAAAACGAGGTCTGAGCCCAGTCTGAAACCAGTCTGAAATCAGTTAATTGGGGGGCGTGGGGGAGGGTGGTCATCCGGCCAATTGTTGTGCTTCTGCCATAGTGGTTGGCCACAGTGTGTTTCTGTATGCGTGTGTGTCTGGGACAGAGAAGCTGTGTGGCCTACATGCAGTTTTTTGGCTGAGTGATCCCAGAGAGCTAAAGGCATTCCTCTTTCGCATGGCAGTGTTGCGGTGTGCTGCCAGCTCAAGTTTCAGATGATCCAGACCACGCTCTTCGGTGGCCGATCTGCGTGCGCGCAGCCCTGGCAGTGCGATCTTTGCAGAGGTGGTTTCAAGTCAGAGCAGGCCTTGATCAGCCATGCCTGGTGGAAGCACGGGGTTCGCAAGGAGCCTGCGCGCGCGCTGCCACAGCGCCCCGGCGCGCTGATCCAGAGCTTCTTTGCAGAAGAAGTGCAAGAGCAAGACTTGCCCGAGCAGTTCGAACACTTGATTTCCTTCGAGCATGCTGAAGAAGCCAATCTGCCTGAGCTTCTTGAAGAGGAGGCGGCGGAGGAGGATGAGCCGCTGGAGACACCGAAGAAGCGCACCAAGACGGGCGCCATCAAGCAGACGCGTGGCGCAAACAGGACTTAGTGGGAGCGATTTGGCGAGCCTTGTTTGTTCAAGTTCGTTGCAGTCCCTGCTGATTGCCCTGCCCTGAGGAGACAGCGCGTTTCAGCCAAGCAGCAAGTGGATGCAGTCGACACCTGGCGGGCTTGCAAGCTGAGCGGCACGCCACCCAAAGACAAGAAGGGAAATGCCACTGGCACACAGTATTCGTACAACACTGTGTACGGGTGGTCTCGCAACTACGACAAGCTGGTCGAGCAGGCTGCCAAGGGAACTGCGACCAAGTTGGCTCGAACCCGCAGGGGCTGGTTCAGGCAGAACCCCTTGGTGCAGGAATTTGACCAGCACCTTTGCAGAGCTCTGAAAAAGCATCGCAAAGCTGGCCGCCCAGCGAATTCCGTCACTGTTCTCGCCATGGCTGAGAGCATATACGACAAGGTGGACAAGACAAGAGAAGGAAGGAACCTGCAGTGGCCGCGGAACAGGCGCGGGAAATTGTGGTTGAGCAGCCTTGTCTTGGCTGAAGGGAATCCAGTCATGCATGGCTAGCACATGGTCCAACTAATTCAATTATGTTTGTTGCTCTCTTGCAACTATGTTTGGTCCATTGGCCCCGCTGAACATGCTAGGGTTGTATTGGGGCTGGAAGACATTTTGGCTGCCAGGAGGGGCGGTGAAGTGTGGAGGCCCAAGATGACCTGGGTTAAGTCCTGGCTGCAGGTCCGTGGCTGGAAGCCGCGAAAGCCGACGAAGAAGAGAGGCTCAACGCCCGCACAGGACAGTGCCCTCATGCAGCGCTGGCTGGACAAGCTGCGGCACATGGCTCAGAAGCAGCCTAGCTGCGGTGACAACACCTGGTCAGACGCATGGGGGTTCTTTGCGCCTGGGGAGCGGTTCAACAGAGACCAAGTCGGGTTCAGTTTTGACTACACTGCGGCAGGGCGCACGTGGGCCAGCCCTGAGGAGCGGACCACCGGCTGCGTTCAAGTTGTGACCGGCAAGGCCGGATGGGAGAAGAGGTTTTTCACATGGGACATGTGCTACGCGGGAGATTTGAAGCAGGCGCAGCCACCCCCGGTGCTTTATTTCTTCGGAGCCGGCAACATTTCACAGCTTGAGCGGGCCTCTTACGACAAGGATGTGAAAGTCTTCTTCACGCCAAAGGGCTATCTCAATGAAGATGCAAACCAGTTTTGGACGCAGTGCTGGGAGGAGCATGTTTCAGCCAAGCACGCGGGCAAAGCGGTACTGCTGACTTGCGACAATGTCGCCGCACACTGCACCCACGCATGGCGGGAGGAGATGGCCAAAATCGGCACTACGGTCTTGCATGGGGAGCCCAACGGGACGCATTGTTGGCAGGCCATCGACCGGCATATTGGCAAGACCCACAAGGACCTGTTCCACCAGATGCAGCTTCACAGATCTTTGGAGGACTTCAAGTCCTTCCAGCACCTGTCTGCCAAGGACCGGCGGATTTGGTGCACGCATTGGGTGGGCGATGTGTGGAGACATTATTGCCATGAAAAGGCTGCAGCTCACACAAACTGCTGCCAATGCAGCGGGCTATTGATCAGACTGGACGGCGTTGGGGATGACCGCGTCACTGTGGAGAGCAATCCAGTCTTTGCTGTTCAGCCATACCAGTGCTGGGAAGGCAGGGAGGTGCCAAATTTGAATAGAAAAAGAACTCAATGTCTCGAAACTAAGCCGTGTTGCTGGTGGGTTAGCAGGGTCGCATGTACGGTCACTTTGAAGCTTTGACTGTGTCAGCAGTGACTCTCTGCAGCTTGCAACAAGAAGCTGACGGGATCTAGCCTGAATTGCTTGGCCATGTGTAAAACACGGCATGACTCAGACTCATCCTCATCCACATCCAGCACTTCCTCCAGCGACAGCGCTGACAGCTGCGCAAGCCAAGCAGTTGCGCACGCAGTGGCGCACGCAGTGGCGCACGAAGCAGGCCTGGCTCATGACAAAGTAGGTAGGAGTGGCAGCCAATGGGCAGCTTGACAGGGTTACATGGCAGTTTCTGCACAGGCAAATCCGCCACGTAATATGATCTGTGTTCTTAATCTTGGGGATCCGGCAAGGTGACGCTTCTCCCGAGCCAGATGGACCTGAGAGCGCGCAGCCTGGTCCCCCGGCTGGTTCGGCTCAGGCA